CCAGGAAAGATGAGAAGTGGGATACAAGTGCGAAAAATTTATGGAGACCTTGCTGTACTTTCTAGAAAGGTGATTTTTAACTTGGATTTAAATATCCTGAAGCAAAACATTGTTTGATATCACCTATACTAGCACTTAATCATTATGCACCTAACACCGAAAAATTTTTTTCTCCTGCCAATTCCACAATTTATCATAAAAATTTACAGCAGATGACTTTTTTTTTTTCATAATAACTGGATAGTGAGGAGGTGAAAAATACCCCACTGCTGCAACAGGACACCATTCCTCATGAATGGTAAAGAGGAGAAAAAAACCCAAAAAACTCATTGTTTCCAAGTCAAGACTGGAAGATGGATAAATCTTAAACGGACATAGCTTAAAGAGAACAATAATTTTATAATTATGTTCGTCTCATAGTATCCTGCTCTTAGAAAAGCTCACATTGCATATACAAAGTTGAATAATCTCTAGCATGCTGAAGCATCAGTGGGATTTCTTTTTCTCATTTGGAACGTGCAAATCACAAGTGTTTTAGCGACTATGCATCCTTCTGCAGCTCAAAAAAAATTAACTTTCGTTTAAAGTTGATTTTTTATCAACTATATTTTTATTTTGCTTAAAAAAAAAAAAAAGCTTTATAAAGGTTTAATCAAGCATTAGATTAAATTACCTTTGGCTTCCATCTTCACCACTCTCCCCATGACCATCAGGAAGACCTGTGATTTCAATTGTAAGAGTGGTCACTCTCCACAAAATTCCAGAATTCTATATGTCAGAAAATAGCAGTCCTTGGTTAGTTGCCCCCTGCTCCCCAAATCAGCCCCTCTCCTACACTGTCAAGGACACTAGCTTATTACTACAAAAGGAAGCACAATAGGCCACGTAGCAGCACATTCATCTGAAAATGACGGCAGAGCCACACTAAGACAGTCACCAATTCCACCATTTTGGCCAGTTAACTGATAAGAAATGCATATTAGTTTAAATCCTAAGGAAACATAACTTTTTTTTTTTTTTAATATTCAAACAAATATTAATCTTTCAGATCTTATTGCTAAGTTTTAGTAAAAGATGTGCTCTCCTGTTATTAAAAAGGAAATAACTTGATTTTTCTCCCCACTGAAAAGCTTGCTCTTCCCTCCCTCTCCCCAAAATGTATCCCAAGGAATGATTTGCTGTGAGTAGATATCCTAGTTCAAAAACACCTAGTCATAACTAACGCTTGTAAAAGTGAAAATACTATTTTTTTTTTTTTATAAACTATTGCTATTCCACTGTATCCGTTGCACTGCATCATTCTAGATATCTTACAACAACAAAAATCTCTCCTGCACAGAAATTTATTTAGATTATAAATGCAACATACTATTGTGAAACAAATAAAGACAACAAGACAAGAAAACAAAACTCACACATAGGAACTGAAAGCAAGTATTGTTGGACTGAAGTGTTTACAGACATAGCTACAATGGCCTATAAACAGTTCCAATATGGAATATGCTACAACCAGGACAAACAGAAATAACAGCTAACCTCCAATATCAAAACAAGCAGCTGATTATTGGCAAAGAATTTTTAAAATATTTAATAAAAGTGCCTATATAAAACCCACTGCTAATAGTAGCATACATTTTTTAGCTTACATTTTTCTTTCACCAGAAATGTAACTTTTACAATTCAAAATTGAATCTTTTTAGTATTTTCATATGTCTGATACCACCTGCACTTACCTTCCCATGTCTTTAATAAAATTATAAATATATATATATAAATATAATGATCAAGGAAAAAGAAAAGAGGAAACAAGTCTGAGTGATAAGCTTACAGTTTAAGTCATGATTCCTCTAATGGCTGGTTATATTGCAGACCATAATAGCACCCTTAGCAATGCACAAAACTTTCTACAGAGCCATATGGGCACCAGACAGTTACTCCCCCAACCAAATATGTGCCCTTGTTCAAGGGATTCAAAATAAGTCATACGCAAGAACCCTCACTTATATGATCTTCCATAGGGAAAGAGTGTCACAGCCATGAAGGGCAGCTAAGCTGAAGTCACTGTTCCACGTACCACCAGCACCACGAGCTAAAAATACAGCTCCTTCACTGCAGAACCTTCTTTACTATTCCGCTCTGCAAATTCAGAGAGAATTTTCTCCTTACTGGAACTCCTTTTAAGTAAATAAGCATTCTGTATGCAGTGTGCCAACTTACATAGATTTTCTTTTTTTTTTTTTAATTACCAAAGCAAATTTCTTCTCCACAATATTCACTGTTAGACTGAATTGGGCCTGACAGGGCACAGCACAGAGCATGGGCAGAAAACCATAAAATGAGTATAAAAGAGTTAAAAAGACATGCTTAATTGTTATGGTCTTGGATTTGGTCTTACATCATTTTGATGATGCAAAACAAATCAAAGTGAGGCATTGGAAAGGGCAGAATATAACGAGAGTCAGTAACGGGCATCCCCTACTTGGACCAATCGATACTGGCTGTGCCTACAACACAGTATCATTATCAGATCTCAAACACCAAAGTTAACATCACAAAGCACGTGTTCTAATATCATAGACTACAATAACTTCCCTCCTAATTATGACTCAGAGCACCAATATTTCACAGCAGTATGTATAGAAACACTTAACATGAGTGACTCACGGAGGTCACAGACAACTGAACTGTACTGAAAGTCTTTAAGCATTAGAGTGCAATTGTTCTACCGCTGTTTAAAGAAAACTGTTACACTTGTCAAGGTAGATTTATAACTATAGGAGTATTTAATTATTAGTTATTGAATAATGCATATATTAAGTTGCAAGAAATAGCTGTAGTTCAATTAATTCATTTTTGAATAATAGGAGTTCTCAAATTACAAGAAAAAGCTAGATATCATAGAAATTATCATAAGGAATATTCACTGGATCAATTTATCTTTTGTTTTGGAAGGTCTCCAACACACTTCTATCAGTCAGCAAGATCCACCTCCACAACTGTTTGCAGATGGAAATTGCCAACTTCTACTATTGTGACAGCATTTGAAGGAACATCACACAAGTCATTATTCAAACTGAGTTATTCTTTTAGCTTTTGACATAATTCTTGCATTGCTTTAACAAACTTTACTGCTATATGTATGTCATTATTAGTACTAATTATTTCCAATGATGAAATTCCATGAAAAATTAGTTCAAACATGTAAAGAGGTATTACATGTTTTTATATATTTCATTTTCAGAACAACAAAAAGGTCTTCATTAAAGAAAAAAGAAAAAAGAAATCTGATAAAACATCATCATAAGGAATTGCAGAAAGGAAAACCAACTCCTCACGGCCCTCAAACAAAAAACTGGCTTCTGTTTGAGCAAGTTAGGCTTGCAAGTTAGGTTCAGTTTAGCAAGTTCAGGACCTATTCAGTCCGGAAAAGAGGCAAAGTTAAGGTTTAATTGCAAGGGCTGGACCATTCTACTTGCAAATACTGCATGCAAGTTTCTGAAAAGAGAGCTACTCCAATTTTTCCATTTTGCATTGCCAAAAAGAAATGACATTAAACTGCAATTACTTAAACAGAAATACCTTTTCCTAATCTGCACTGTCTCTCTCCTCCTCCACACAGATGGACAACAAACTTAAAAAAAACAAAGTAGTATCTCAAAACATTTGATCCTTAGCATATTAAAGAAACATGATTTGAAAGGCAATATACATTTTTCTATATTGCTAATTATTTGGTGTAAAGATCTCCACAAGATGGTGCTCTAGTTCTGCTTTATAAGATATCACCACCTACATTTGGTCTCTACAGCATTTCACTGTTAGGATAATGGATGGAGTGATTACAAGGTTTATTTTCTATCAAGGTGCAAAACAAGTTCACATAATCAGTCAACATCAACTTTTTTTCCTTTTTTTTGGGGGGGGGAGGAGGGGGGAAGGGAACTTGTACTGTGGAAAGTTCTACTAAAAAAACCTAAAAGCTCTTGACTAAGTTTATATAACGATAATGGATCACCATATGGTCTTCTGTAAAAAGTCAATTTATATTCCATATGGTTAAAGATCATAATTATGGCTAAATCATATAAATCACTTTTACTAGAATAATGTCAAACAGCTGCTTTCACCTTCATTTGCAAACTCTGCCAAAAAAAAGAAAAAAAAAGATACTTTGGCATTGTGCTATCAAACTTCAAAATCTTTTCATGTGAAGTTGTTATACAGCCCAAAAAAAGATCTGATATAATTTAATGCCTAAAAATATAGTAAGGGTTAAAAAGAAATCTCCTGTTCTTATCAAGCCCCACACATACCTTTGATTTCATTATATGATGTTTATGGAAGTCTTACGTCTACTTATGTCTCTAAAGAGAAATTTTATACAGTTTCAAATCATAAAAGCATTGTGTGTACTGGATGGTCTCCATCTGTGCCGCTGCTCTTAAAATGTGTTGGGTAAAAGTACTAAAACACTCAACACATTTCTTGCAGTCAAAGTCTGGGAACTTACTTACACGTTTTAGTGTTTAGGATCAAACTGACCCTCGCTTTGTCAGTGTTAATGGAAGCCATAATGTGTTGGTACTCTCCAACCAGGCATGAAAATTTACATTTAAAAAAAAAAACAAAAACAAAAAACCTCAGAAAGTCAAAACCCCTAAAGATACATATTTATTTATAATTGTGTATCTAAGTTTTCATTAATACTTATTCAGCAATACAGATGGTAAGATGGTATGTAAGGAAGCCTCTTGGGTGCAATATGCTAGTCCCAGCTGGAGTGTTTCCAACAGGATGTAAACGATGGTCCTCAAGCCTGCCTTTTTTTTTTTTTTTTTTTTTTTTTTTTAAAGCCGCACTTATTAGCACACTGCTAACAAATGTCAACACAAAAATACGTTGCTGTAATGACTTCACATCACCAAGGCAGGAAACCACTTGAAGAGGGTTTTTTTGGTTTTTTTTAAGGCAAAGAGCTGAAAAAAACCCACCAATACGCATGCATTAAAAGAATTTATTCTAAAACAGTAAGAGCACTGGTGATCAAATTATATATTAAAATTTCAATGCTGTACAAACATATATTAGTTACAATATGCATAAACTACAAAGAATAGGTCCAAAGATCTGTTGTTCTTCAGGTCTTCTCAGAGGTGCTGCTTGAGTTTTTCAACAATTCGGAGGTCTCTTCAATCCTGAAAATAAGTTGTTTAGACACATACATTAAACCACAGTAAAAAGCTAGTCAATTTTTTTTTTTTAACCTTCTAGCGAGTCTAAAATAATGGAAACAAGTAGCATTAAACTAAATTTCCTCCCATTCTTCCTCTTTCCCTGCAGTTAGTAGGGATACTGAACGTCTACCCGTTATCATTCACCACACACATATATATTACATGTGTAACCAAAAATAAAATCTGAGGTTAAATCGCACAGAAAACCACTACTGCTTAAAGGTCAGGCACTTGTACAATAAATATCTCTTCTTAATGAAATATTATATAGCAATTTATTTCTCCTCACCAACGCTAATAAAATTATTTCTTGCAAAAAAATATTCATTACAAATTTCAGGACAAGTGTCATATATATATTTTAATATACGTAATGCAGTGATTAGTCTGAAACCTGACTTCCTTTTAATAAAAAGGATGGGAGGGAGGGGGGAAGTATTTCACTTCTTGTTTCTGTAAGAACAAAAAAATCGTTCCAGGCAATTCTTATCAGCAGATATATACTATTCCTTATACTTGCCAACCAGATTCTAAACATCTTTTAATCTGCAGATAATACCATTAAGAATGATTTCTCTTGCTTGTTAGAAACCAAAACAGTGACTCATCCTACAAATACTGACAGAACTACAATACTTACAGAACTGTAAGTAGATTTATTATCCAGTGGAGTCATAAGGAAATGCCACACCTGATGTAGAGACCTTTGAGGTTTGGAACACATATGTACCTTCTCTATATGCCTTAGTCCAATGCAATTCCCTCCTGGGAAATGAATTCCTGCAGCCCTTTCCTATTACTTACATTTTACTTATCCTTTCCATTCTTTGTCTTGTTGTCTCCTGCAATTTAAAAGCAACAAATTTAGTGAACTCTTCAAAGCTAGCAATCTTCAGATATTCAACCTGGAAAATTCAGAGAAAATGCAACTTCAAGCACTGTTTACATATCAGAAGGATTTAAGAGACATGTCTAGATGTAGTTTTGCATAGTTTCCTTGTTTTCCACTAGTATTATAAACAACTAAAACTAATGCTTACTTGCTCTTTTACCCTTAGAAAGGAAATGAACCAAGAGTTTGCCAGTTTTCCTTACCTTTGAAACATCTGTCCGGTCATGACAATTAACGGTCATGGCTTTGGGAGATGGGATTGTGGATAATAGCGAGCTATATCCAGACGACGGACGAAGATGAAGACTCTCTGGCATCTCCTCCTTCCTCTCTGTAGCTACAGGGAAATACTCATGTGTGTGTCACCTTTGCCTTTTTGCTCTCTACTGCAAGGTCAGCGCTCAAATAGTTTTGATTTACAGTATGCAGTAACAGAGAGAAAGCATTATTTGGAGGAGGAAAGCTACCGTGAGTGTCCAAAATATATATCCCATGCCCTAAAACAACAAACATGGGATACACCAAGTATAATACACACAAAATTAATTTTAAAAAGCTACAATATTAGCTTTATCCTGATTACAGTCAACACTTATGTGCTGAGTCAAATAATACTAATTTCCTATAGTATCCATTATTTGTAAACTGCCTATTGAAATATGTTTTTAGTTTTTGTTAAATAACTGGTATTACAAACAGCAATATTATAAACAAAATCATCACTTCCTTGATTAACTTGAAATCTGAAGGTCCTGCAGTTCTGCTAGGCCATCACTCTGTGGTACCTAGGCTCCCACTGTGATTAAGTTAGGTTAGGCATCCATTCAGCACCAACAGACCAATCTTTTACATTAGAAAGACTTTGGTAGCTTCTTTTTAAAAATCAAAATTATTAATATATGTGCATCTTGCATTTTTGGTAAGATGTTATTTGTAATATTTAATTCATAAAACAGCTTCTACAAAATAGAATAGAGACACAAAAACAACTTGCAGGTTCAAGTCTTAAAAACACTATTTTAGTCAGGACTTACATGAGGTATATAGTATATGCCTTTAATTAGAAAAAGTCATAAACACTCACCAGGAGAAACTGGAATCTTACTGGATGTACATTCTTGATTTACATTGTTAAACTCCGTTACATCACTCTACAATACAATTTACCATATTTTAGTCATATATCCTGCTTAAAATTCTATTTAAATAGTAAATACATATGCATGTACTACATCAATACAAGTGCATTATCCCTTGTAAGGGCCAAAAATCATAGTTATATTGCGTATATATGCATAAAAAGGTGTGTATGCCATATAAAATATGCTATAAAAGCATACATATGCTATAAAAAGGTCTATTTCTCAACTTTAAAAAAAAGATATTGTTCTTAAAACTCAGGTCAAAGGCTTCCAAGTACTGCATATAACTCACGTATGACTCAATCAGATGGTTCTCGGTCTGTCCCAACAGTTCCTAAGGTCTGCTGCTGTTAGCTTAAAATAAACATAGCTTCCACTTCCATTCAATACTCACAAATGCAGCTCCTCATCCTTGAAAACACTGGGCTATAAATCAACGCAATCCCCCCCACTTAAACATTCAGAACTCTGAGGTCCATTTGCAGCTAGTTCTCCAGGCTCCCAAATGAGAGAAGCTCCTTCGAAGATGGCTCTTTGGTTAATGACATCTATGCTCTAAATGCCATTTTGTTCACATTTTGTTCACGGGCAAGGAAACAAAATCAGAGTTGTATTAACACTACATGTTTGAGAGTGCATCTAAAGCAAATAACTTCTAGACTTTCCTCACCAATGACTTTTCATTAAGATTTGCAAAACCTATGACTCAAATCTGGAATAACTACGCCAGGTAGCAGCTGTAATACTATACTCAAAGACATAAGGGAGAGAAAAGCACTAGTTATTATATGGGAAGAAGCTGGGGGAGAAAAAAAAAAAATCCCTTAAAATGAGAGAGAAAATGACGGAACTGGAGGGAGAGATATCTGCACTGTCTTCTTCTGCCTGTTTCCTCCCCATGAAAGGAATTTAGTAGCTTTTAGATTCTCCTAGAGCTACATGTGCAGCTGCTGCTGCTTTGGCAGCTGTGCAAGACAGATCAGAGAGTGTTCCTGCTATGCTAGCTAAATGACAGAAGTTTCCTGAAAAATGCAAGGGTGAGAAAAAAGGAGTAATTCTCAACCGCTCTTCTATCAGGGAAGCACAACTTGGATGGAATTCCATGAAACAAAGAGACAGCGACTCCGGGGCCCAAAGGATTTTTTTTTCTTGGCAGTTTCCAAACAAGTCGGGGGTTGGAAGACTTTAAAAAACATAAAAGCCAGTTTCTTTCGCTTTGAAGCAGCCATGCCACACACAAACTAAATCCATGCTTGTTTCTGCAGACTTCCTCTCTGAACATGCAGAACAGAAAAAAAGAGAGAGTATTTGAGCGACAGTAACATTAAGAATTTTAGTAGCAACTACTCCAGACTATTTCAAACCTCTCAACCTCACTACATTATGCGTTTCCATGAGCTCAATTTACCAAAAGTAATAAAATAATGAGACTAGTCTGAAACACGAGTTTCCCCATGGTGGCAATGCCGTAAACGCAGCAACCACCTTCTGGAAAGGGCACACGTGAAAGACGGACAAATCTCTTCACGGCTATTCAGCTGAAAGCCTCTTAAGACACTTACCAAAAAAAAAAAAAAAAAAAAACTTAAAAATAACTGTGCTATTTGGACTATGCCTAAGTATATTATTAGGTATATATTAATATAGTATATTAATACTGTACTATTAAGGTATAGTATTTATCCATTACAGACTGACTTCACATGGTAATTGAGACATTAACAACCATAAAATTGAATAAAACAAAACAACCAAAACCTCCAAAAAAAAAAACATGCAAATGAGAAAGCTAGCAGTTATTCTTTTATGCTTTTTCAAAATAAAGATCAGGCTGACCACTTTCCACTCCAAAGTGTCCTTCTTGAGCAAAATGTTGAACACACGCACACACCATATTTTGCATACAAGTATTACAGAATCATAAAATGGTTTGAAGTTCAAAGGAAGCTCTAGAGATCACCCAGTCCACCCCCTTTCTCAAGCAGGGACACCCACTGCATGTGGCACAGGGTGGCATTCCGTTGGGTTTTGAAGGCCTCCAAAGAAGGAGGCTCCACAACCTTCTTGGGCAGCCTGTTCCAGGGCTCCGTCACCCTCACAGACAATAAGCTTCTCCTCAGATTCAGGCAGAATTTCCTGTACTTCAGTCTGTGCCTGCTGCCTCTTGTCCTGTCACTGGCCTCCACTGAAAATAATCTGGTCCCATCCTTTTGGCATCCTCCCTTAAGGCATTTGCACACACTGATAAGATCTCCTCTCAGCCTTCTCCAAGTCAAACAGGCCCAGCTCTCTCAGCTTAAGTCTCCTACTAGTACCATCTTCAAGTCAGCAGTATAGCCCAAATTCCTGGTTACAAGTATATCATACATTTAGATAACTACAAAGGAAAAAAAAAACCAAAACACTGATGAAGCATTTTTCACCTGAGTTTTCAATTTTTTGAGATCTTTTCATAGTATCAAAAGGATACATATGAAATCTATAAGTAAAAATGTTTTGAAATTAAACATGTGTTCACAACTATGATGCTACAGCTAACATCTTGAGATATTTACATGCACACATATGAAATTATATAATGTGCATGTACACATACACAGGGACCTTTCAACAGCATAAAAAAATAGAGCTTTAATGCAGCACAATAACTGATGAACTGATGCACCAAACGTAGCCACACGACAACTGTGGCACTTCTGTACATTCAGAAACGTACAGAGAGATGGAGGTGGATTAAGGTGGCAACAGTGGAGGGGGATGAAGCGTTATCAAAAAAGTCAGAAACATATAAAAGTTACCCATCAGATAAGGCATCAGGAGGCTGGGAAGGAAGAAGAACAGAAGCAGATTCACAAGCATGGCGCTTGGGCAAGATTTTTGTTGTCATTTAGTAATGGCTGCACAGCACTATAAAAACAGTCAAGATTACTATTGTCATATCTGCCTCTGTCAGACAGTATTCCTACTGCCATTTCTGACATTAGCAATTGGTGTACCTTTTTTGACTGCAGCAATAGTTCAGTTTCAAGGAGCAAAACTCGACTCAACAAATTATTCCAGTCCTTCTCATCTATGATCACCTTTCCTTTCAATCTGTCTTCTAAAATGTGTAGTTTCTCTTCTATCCAATCCAGCTTATGAAGCTTTTCCTGGCAATCAGCAAGCTGGCTCTTAAGGAACTCTATCTCAGAATTATCCTCTAAGACCTGGAAACATGGATAAGAATAGATGTCATCCAATAGATGTCATTATTTATCTGTGAAGTTAAATTGATTTTTTTTCCTTACCTTAGCAACTGCATTCTCACATATTAAGGCATGTTTTCTTTCTTCCCAAATGACTGTAAACATGTTGCTCATGACACTTAACTTTTGTATGTTCAAAGAGTTTTATATTTCAATGTTTTATATTTAAAGAGTTTTATATTTAAGATGTTTCATATGTTCAAAAAAAGAGCCAATTTCCATATCATTGAAGCATTTGAAGGCATTTTATTGAAAGAATAATGCTTTGGACATCAAGTACCACTGCTTTATTTTTATCTACTTTTAAAATCTATTTTACATAGACTTTAGCAGTAACAGAAACTAGTTCACAGTGAATTTGCATGATGACTTCACCCTTAGCTGTTACCAGGAATTGCAGAGAGAAACTCTTGACATGAAAAGAAGTCTCTGATGTCCAAAATAAAAGAAGATCTGAGTAAAAACATCTATTATGGGTAAAGCAGCCATAGTTTTTTCTTTATGGTCTAAAAAAAGGGTTCCATTAACATTACACTTTTTTTCTTTCAATAAATGAAAGTGGAAAGGATGCCATGGCATCCTTTGCCCCAAATTCCATTAAAATATATCCGAAAACTTCCTGTATGATACTTAAGATAAAATGGACCAATTAATTCAAAAAAAATCAAGTCAAGATAGACAGATCTCCACACTGTTAAAAAATATAAAAAATGAGAATAAGACTGATAAAGCTTGAGATTTGTGTAGTTGGAATTCTCTTGAAAGGTTGGTACAATTTTACTGCATTTGTTTTTTCTACACATTTACTATACAAGTTATATTCAAGGTGCAGGAACTTACTTGTTCACATTCAACTTCCAGAACATCCTGATTTAAGTATTGTTCTTCTTCATTGTTTCTCTCTGCTGGAAGGGCTGGTGAATGAAGGTTGTCACCATCTTCACTTTGTGGATGTCTTTCTACTTGAGGCTTTGAGTATGTTAAAAAAAAAAAAAAAAAACACACCAAAAAAGCATACTCACTAGTGTTATTTACTACAAAAGTTCTTCTTAAATTCATCTGCCAGGTAATTGACACAAAGGGCTATTATTTTATCATTTAGCTTTTTAAAATCTAACAATCACCTCCACTTATTGCAACACACATCAAAAGTTGTTCAATTTAAAAAATAAAATTAATTTTTTAAAAAAGCTGTAAGCATGAAAGAATTAAGAGACCTATGCACACACTTTGCTATCTTGAAATATACCTTGGCTTGCATAGAAAGTACTGAAAATATAAACACCCCTCCCCTTTAACCATCGTGCTGCTAGATTTTAGAAAGTGGGTAAGGAGGTGGGTAATCTCCATCTTAAATCAACTCACAAACAAGATCAATCCAATACTGAGAACTACCACACAATCTTTTAGAAGAAAGAGTTCTACAAGAAAGATTAAAATTCTTATTTTCCTTGATTAGTGTAGGCAAATAGCCAATGGATTTCAGAAAAGATCCTGATTCGCTACTACTCAGAACAGCCTTTAGACCTGCAAAGTAAAAAATAAAAACACATACCTGTTTCAGACTCACAGCATTGTCATTAGGTTCAGCATGAACTTTATCACAATTTGACCACAGCTCATATTTTAAAGATCCAGGTTTTCTTCTTGGTTGCGATTTGGCCTTCAAAATGAAGAGAGGGGAAAAAAATGCCTCTAATACAGGAATATTATTGTGAGAAAAAAATCATTTCCAAGTGTCCTTAATAGGCAGGAATGCTGAACAGCACAAATGCAAACAGAACTGGAGCTCTGTAATACAACACTGACATACACTTAAGTAAGAGCCAAATCAATAGAGATAAATGGATCCGTTTATGAATGCTGTACACATGCACCAACAATGCAAGGATGCAAAGCTGGTCATAAACACAAAAAGAAATTGCATCGAAACTGAAAGACAACCAAACAAGAAAGGAGGAGTTAGTTACATCCCCAAGGTGATAAATAGAGAAATTCTGAAGACTATTATAATCACAAATCAATCACAAAATTCTGCAAAATATAAAGCTTTAACAGAGCACACACTGATATATACTAACACTTTAAAGTACACAGAAGGTTATTAGTGATTAGGTTTAAAATGTATTTTGCAGAAATGTAAATACAAGTGTGGGATTTAAATCAAACACTCCCAGAAATTTAACATATCAGAGCAGTTTGCTTTAAAGTCTATATAAGATCTAATGAGGTGAACATTTGCTATATTTAGAAAGGTAAGAGAAAACATTTATTGTAGATTTATCTTTTTTTTTCATAATAATTTTATTTTGTGGATACTGCAAAGGATTGGCAGCTTATTGTCTTTTGTATACCTGATACTACTCAAGCACCTTATAATGTACTTCATACTAAATTCTCCCCCTATTTACATTATCAGTAATGCTTTAGCTTCAGATAAGTTGATTTTCAAAAGAAGAAATCTGTCTCAAAGTTATTTGATCAGTACCTTATTCGAGTTACTTAATTCCTTATGCTTTTTCATCACAAAGTTGATTATGTCACAAACAACCTGCATTTTTCGTTCTGCAAAGCCAAACTGAAGAAATTGCTGTTTTGTTAAGACTGGTTTGTATTGAAATACATCCCGAAGAAGCTGAAACAATTAAGAAAAACTTTACTTTGCTTTCAAGATCATCATGTAATTTCTCACAGAAACAGCATATTCTTGTTCGTACTTTCTCTACGATTTTCTCTCTCATTTTACACTTTACTAAATGAATAAAGAACAAACTAAGCGACATACTCTAGGGTGATTCTTCCAGTCAGGCCTTTCAATCTACCATTTCTAGTTCACATACCCCTACCACACATCACTCTTGCAGTTTATATCTTACATCATTTTAAGATGTATCAAACAAACTACTGTAGATGTTAGCTTGAAAAAAAAAAAAAGAATTCAAAAAGAATCAAGAGTGTACAATAAAAGACTGTATTAATAAATCAAAGGGGTAGTAAAACTCCCACTCCAAGTTTCTCTGCAATGCAGTCTCCATCTTCTTCGGATGGAAAATTTACCTGAGTAAATTGACATTAACGCCAGTCTCCCTTTAACACAGATATAAAGTATATTTACAGATATTTTAAAGACAGAATGAAATCAGTTTCATTAAATTCAAAAGATAATTTGATGCTAACCATAAATTGTTACTAAATGGACTTTATGTATTAATTTCTCAAGGCATTTTAAAATAACTGTACTTTTTACTTGTTATCACTATTATTGATGTTTGCTATGATTTTTTGCTCGTCATCATTCCTCTACGGTCAATTCTGGCTATATATTGTGGAATAAATATTCCACATTTGCCACATTTAACACAAAACAATTTTACAGGTGGTCTCAAAACTAAGATTTAGCTAACACTATCCTCCTTTATTTCCAGGAAAAATCTAACATTTCAAGGTAGTTATGGTTCATCTAAGATCTTGGCAGAACCACAAATAATTTTTATTGCCAACTTTTTTACTTGCTAATAAAACTCACACTACATGTTCAACTGTTATGAGGCCATATTCAAAGCTGTCCCTCTCGTGCAAAGTGTACGAAGTCAGATACCTTATAAATAGCTTCAATAAAACGCAAGTCACTCTTTGCTGTGAGTTCTACATCACATTTCACCAGAAGTTCTGCTATGTACGTTGAGAAAGATGTAAAAGAATAGCTGATGATAGGTAAAAACACAGCTGGATCACCCTTTATTAACCTATTGAGAAACAGAAGTATTTTATACTTAACAGAAAAAGACAAAAGTAAGTCACTTCAAACATCTAATCTTGGAATCATATTAATATATAGTTCTATACTATAGAATTATACTATAGTTCTAACTATACTATAGTATAGTTAACATATAGTTATGATACTAACATCAAATGAGCTTGAACTTCAATTCAGGATTGTTTATGTGTCTTGCTGTCATCATATATTAGTATAAATGTATTTATGCTCCCCCTTACCCAGTATAATCCACATCTCTTGGATAATTTAACAAGCGAAGTCCTTGCTCTATTTTTCTTAAACTTCCTTTTAGGTCTCCTGTTGCCATTACTTCGAATGCTGTTCTTTTAGATCACAAGGCAAGTGTAATACAGTACATTCTTCTCCCCTAAAATAAACAAACAAAATTTACGTATACATGAAAACTTAATAGAAAATAGAACTATCAACAAAATTGACAGGTTTTTTTTCCTGTTTGTTTGTTTTTGAGTCCTTTTTTCCCCCAGGACATTTCCTAAATCTTACAACAGAGCAGAGGCTAGAGCTCAATAATAGTATAAGTAATCTTCCTCATTCAATTTAGCTCAGTATCAACTGCTAACCCTCAATCCTACCAACTATCAGAGACCTTTAAAGGTAAGGAGATCGAAATGCATATTCAGAATTTAGAACTAACTGAAACTCATTAAGATGTTAAACAAGTTCCTCTTCTATTTCAAAGGAGCAGAAATCCAAAAGTGGTAAAATTTGTTATACTCTTTGGTCTAGAAGGCTTCCTATTCTTTTCCTCAGACGAAGGCCTGTTTGTGTCATCTTGGCATAGGAACATTTTTACAGCTTTTCCCCAACAAATTTGAAATATTTCAGGAAACTACCTTAGATCATTTAGTACCAACTTTACTGACTAAAAGCACAACCTTTGAATACATGAGTATTGGAAATTGTGCCTAGCAATTCACCACAGATACGACCTCTAGCTTTAACTGACCCATTAAACAATTCTAAAATCATGGTGGTGGTGGGTGGAGAGGCCACAGACTTCCTAGACATTTCCAGACAGGTCTAAATTTACTTCCACATAAGGTTTTAGCTTTTCCAAAATGGGCTAGGAAGTGCAGGACTCCTGCTATCAGTGGCACTGTTTTGTGAAACAGAACTAATCAGTAAATTCTCTAGTAGAGGAAGAAGAGACAAGAAAACTAATTGCCATACGAGATATAAACCCCCCTGCAACTATGCCAGCCTAGCAAACTGTAGAGACACCTGAAGCAGTAGCTTCAAATTCACCTGAAGCAGTAGCTTCACATCAAATAAAGACATCACTGCTAATTATTGCAAATCACATATTTAGAGACACTCTGGGAATACTGTCTGCAGTATCTTGTAAACATTTGTTCCAAAGTTGTAAGCAACTGCTATTGGTTCTTTTCCAACATAAGACATTAAAAGCATAGACTAGAGAGCCCAACTCTCATAAACCCTGATTGAACACAAGTGGCCTTTATCTCAGTATTCAGACTTGAGGAAGTGTAGAAATATATATACAGTTACATATCTGAAAAAGCAAGGCAAATAAACAAAAACTAGGTGCAAGGAACTAAAGATCAATCTGAAGATAGAAGACAAGGATTATGCAAACTTAATTATATAATTAGGCTCCAGTTATTACTGAGACCTTAAGCAAGCAACTCCACCAATATATCCATAACTTGCACTTGCAACGTTCTGAACCCTGCCATTCTCAAAGGACAGTAATAATGTTTAAAATTAATAATATAGTTAATGTCTATGAAAACAAACTAAACTAAAGCAAGTAAGCTGAAGTTTAAGATTCTTATCCTCTCCCCTCATTTCTTATTCCATGAATTTTGAAGAACAGTTTTGAAGAGCTACATTTAAAAAACACCACCCAGAGCATAATGCTGATCATGGACAACAGAGCTGTACAAAAAGTGAAAGTTCGCTGCAGCTTTAGAGAAAAAAAAAAAAAAACAAATAGTGTCTCACCGCCTTAGCCCACTTCCACAATTCCCGCAAAGACTCGCGATTCCTGCCAAAACCTTGGCACAGAAACTTACTGCCCGCCTTCCTGCCGGCGCCGGGCCGGCCGCTGCCTCCCGCGTCTCGGGAGCCCCCGTCCCGGCCGGAGAGGCGCGGCGCCGTGCCGCGCTCCCCGCGCGGCGGCCGCAGCCCGGACGGTTGACGCAGCCCGGACGGTTGACGCAGCCCAACGTCCAGCGCCGTCGCCAAGGGCCGCGGCGGGAGGCGCCCGCCGCCGGCAGCCGCAGATTCCGCACTGCCGCCCCGCGCTGCCCACGCGGCTCCCGCAGGCCTCGCGGCTCCCGCGGCAGGGGCCGCCTGCCCTGCTCCCCCGCCGCGCGCAGAGCGGCCACGGGCGGCCAGGACGGGCCGTGGCTTGAATCTGCCGCCACGAAACGGCGGCGCCTTCCGCTTCCGGCGAGCGCGGCGGCCACCACGTCACTTCCAGCAACAACGGCAAGCGTCAGGGCTGCCCGGCGAGCGGCGGCCGCGACCCGCTGC